TTCTTATCATGAGCCAGCGCTTGGCGACATACTTGATGACAAACTGCTGCCAACACATATCCCTCAGAAATACAAAAACAGTAAAAATGGTAGTGGTACAGACTGAAAGTGAAAGACAACGAGGGCCACAATGGAAATAAGTTTGTAACTTTCTTGTGTTATCCTCGACAGTAATATATCACTGTGATGGCATCTTGTTATGCATTTTTTTTACTGTCTAGTAAATCAAATAAAAAAAATGGAACTTATATGATAGTAATATTAATGATAACAATAATAGGACTCTACAACTTCAGAGCCAGAAACACTGCAAGAAAGCAACAGAAGAGAGAGGGCAGGGACAAGAAAGCACAAGACTATGGGAGAAGGTAGAAGGCGAGTTAGTAACATGCATTATGTGATAATGCATGGAGATGGAGAGAGTGGAGCTCAGTGCATCATGGGAAGCGTAGGCCTATAGCAGCATAACTAAGGATGGTTCAGTGAAAGTAATATAGTAACGTAACTAGTTACTTTTTCACCCTGTAGTAAGTAAAGTAATATTTTACTTTTTTAAGGAGTAAATTTTCTGAGTAACGGACAAACAGCTTTACAGCAGGTCACTAATTGAATACATCCGAAGAAAAAGGAACAAGTAACGTTAGTATTAGTTCCATTGGTTTATTCGAAGTAAGAAAAGAAGAGAAATTTGGACACTGGAGGGCCCACATGTATTATTTAGCACAGAGACAGAGTGTGTTGGTCACCGTAGCTTCTCCTGGTCACTTGGAAAGGGAGGGACATGGGACATAAAGAAATATACAGTAACTTTTTTTTTTTAGTGATGGCGAGATGGAGCTTCATGAAGCATTGAAGCTTTCCATCCAGTTGGTTCACATCATGGGCCGAAGCTTCACGGTGCTTGATTTGCTCTACTGTGCCATCCAGTGGACAATAATGTAAACAGAGCAGAGTGATTATAAGGCAACACAGCTTTGGTGTTTGAAGCTTTGAATTGAATAATTAATGAATATAATATAATAATCCCTTATTTGTAGAGCATTTTTCAAAAACAAGTTACAAAGTGCTTTAACAAGTGTAAAGATAATACAAAAAAAAGATAAGAGCATGAAAATTAATATAAAATTGATTAATTGAATGATGTTTGTGATGCCAATACATGACTGATTAGCTTTTTAATAAGGGTGTCCTTTATGATACGATGACGGTGTCAAAAGGAAAGTGGAAACAAGGGAGAGGGTTATGATAACTTGGTTTGTGACTTTAGATGATAGAGACAACATTTTATCATCTTTATTTAAAAATAACACTTCCACAGTGCTGAGCTTCATGCCCTTTCTTTTTTGGAGATGATTTTACTGCTTTAGAAATTATTATTACTGTAATATGGGTAAGAGTTTTTCTTACCAAAGCCACAAAATGTAAAAAAAAAAAAAAAAAAAAAAGTCAACACTTTTTTTAGTCATTTAAAATGAGCTGTTGATAAATCTAATTGTGTTCAATTTCAAGTCCACAAAATGTTGAGGACGGTCCATTGCATTTTGTTCCTCCTTTCGAATCGCACGCCAAACCCGCAAAGCATCTCCTGAATCTGTCAGTACGGCCGGCTTGCGAGGCTTCGACATCACTACATACGTCATCAACACAAGCCTTGATACGCGCTTCACAACAAAATCATCCTGCATTACTTGACACACGCTTCGAAGCCTCGATACGGACGGACACATCACTACTTTTTTTAATTCCTGCAAAATCATGTATTGGATTTACATATTTCGCAATATGGTTCCATCCATCCATCCATCTTCATCCGCTTATCTGGGATCGGGTCGCGGGGGGGCAGCTCCAGCAGGGAACCCCAAACTTCTCTTTCCCGAGCCACATTAACCAGCTCTGACTGGGGATCCCGAGGCGTTCCCAGGCCAGTGTGGAGATATAATCTCTCCACCTAGTCCTGGTCTTCCCCGAGGCCTCCTCCCAGCTGGACGTGCCTGGAACACCTCCCTAGGGAGGCTTCCAGGAAGCATCCTTACCAGATGCCCAAACCACCTCAACTGGCTCCTTTCAACGCAAAGGAGCAGCGGCTCTACTCTGCTCCTCGCGGATGGCCAGGCTTCTCACCCTATGCTCTAAGGGAGACACCAGCCACCCGCCTGAGGAAACCCATTTCGGCCGCTTGTACCGCAATCTCGTTCTTTCGGTCACGACCCAGCCTTCATGACCATAGGTGAGGGTAGGAGCGAAAATCGACCGGTAGATCTCTTTTCGCCACAACGGTGCGGCAAAGTGAGTGCATTACCGCCCCCGCTGCTCCGATTCTCCGGCCAATCTCCTGCTCCAGTCTCCCCTCACTCGTGAACAAGACCCCGAGGTACTTGAACTCCTTCACTTGGGGTAAGGACTCATTCCCTACCTGGAGTTGGCACTCCACCGTTTCCTGCTGAGAACCATGGTCACAGATTTAGAGGTGCTAATCCTCATCCCAACCACTTCGCACTCGGCTGCGAACCGATCCAGTGAGAGCTGCAGGTCATGGACCGATGATGCCATCAGGACCACATTATCCGCAAAAAGCAGTGACGAGATCCCAAGCACCCCGAACCGCAGCCCCTCCTCGCCATGACTACGTCCTTATGATCACGTCCGAACCCTCCGTTCCAGCACCCTGGAATAGACTTTACCGGGGAGGCTGAGAAGTGTGATACCCCTGTAGTTGGCACACACTCTCTGGTCCCCCTTTTTGAACAGGGGAACCACCGCCCCAGTCTGCCACTCCTTGGGCACTGTACCCGACTTCCACGCAATGTTAAAGAGACGTGTCATCCAAGACAGCCCCTCCACACCCAACCCAGGTGGAGGGCAGGATGATGCCAACTAGAGTAACACACTGAACAAAAATAAACACTTTTGTTTTTGCCCCCATTCATCCTGAACTGAACTCCCAAGATCTAAGACTTTCTCTATGTACACAAAAGCCCTATTTCTCTCAAATATTGTTCACAAATCTGTCAAAATCTGTGTTAGTGAGCACTTCTCCTTTGCCGAGATAATCCATCCACCTCACAGGTGTGGCATATCAAGATACTGTTAAGACAGCACAGGGTTGCACAAGTGTGTCTTAGGCTGGCCACAATAAATAGGACTTAAACCAGCTTAGAGCGGTTCCTTTAATGCCAGTTAAATGTTCCAGTCTCTGTGATAGGATCTACAGAGACAAGTCCTTTGTCTGATGCAATTAGAAGATCATTTGTAATTTTCACTAGTGCTTAGTGCTGTCTCCTCCTACCCCCCCCCCCCCCCCCCCCCCCCCACCCCCCCCAGAGGGCCTTATGGAAGTGAACATGACAGAGATCCCTATGGAGACGATAGAGCTGAAGTTCTCCAAGTTTTATGGCATTGAATTTGGAGGCCATTGGAAACCAAAGGACTGCAGACCTCGCTGGAAGGTAGGTTTATGCATTTTAAAAGTCTAGTAATTGTATAAACATGTAATGTACACTTAGTTAACAATATAAAAATATGTATATATAATATAATATAAAATAGAATGCAGTGTTTCCCCTCTTTTTTTTTTTTTTTTTTCCGGAAAAACTGTTAGTGTCGTGGAGCGGGCGTGTTACGGATATGTGGTGTTGTTAGGGCTAGGCGGTATATCGTATAATGATTTGAATGAATTTCAAAAGAGATGTAAAATTGACAATATCGTTTATAACGATATAGTTTGATGTTGAGTTAATTAATTTGTTTCCGTAAAGTCCTGCCTGCATTTGCTCCCCTCTCTCCCTCACCACGCAGCCCCGCCCCTCCCTCTGCGTCTGCCCCCCTTTAGCTCACAACATAGATGGTGGTCGACACTGCTGAAGACTTTGGGCCTGTACCACGAAGCAGGATCTGAGCTTATCCAGATAACTTCGGGTTAACCCTTGGTTTTCAGTACCATGACGGTGGTTCACTTCTTACTGGGGTAGATCGCCATGGTAACTTATGCTGAACGGCTAACCTGCTCCAGAGCAGGTTATGTTCCAGATAAGAGATCAACTCTATAAAAACGCTGCCTACTGACCAATCGGCTGTCTTGGGAAATGACATCATCATCTGTAGGAGATCCCACAGACTGTTTTATAGACTGCTTTTGTTTGCTGCAGTGATATGGAGAAACTTTTGTACAGCAATATCATCCTACAGAGACTGATTGAAAAGCCTTGTAAACTACTATTGTAGGTTTTTAGTTAGCCCACTTACTGCTTTGAAATGTGTTTTATATTTTTATTTGCTCCAAGTCTGTTTCACACAGCTTGTTGCAGACATTTAAATATATGGGTTTCATTTGTCTTTGTGAGGCTGAATACTATCAGCATATAGTTTGATATGGATTGAAATTAATTTTAATATGAATGTAGGCTATTTATTTTAGGTTGGTAGCTATCTTGTATTAGAGCAATTGGTCATGTACTGGCCCATCTTTTGCTATGTGGGCGCAGGTTATGTGCGGGGTTTTCAGTAGCCTAAATATCGAGATTCAGTCTTTCGACCACCTATTTGAGCACATTTTATGGCCTGAATAGATTTTTCATTTTGTTGCTGTATGAAGTTAATTTAGAACAATGTTTGGAACACTTTTGAGTGTGTTAAATAAATGAATCTCATTTTTGAAGTGACAAGAAGTTCTTAAAAGTGAGTTGGATTGACCACTTATTCAGTGTCCGAGTCTTTTAATGTGGAAACGCCAAGACACAGCCGAGCTGAAAGAACAAGGCTAAGATTTTCATAGATGCCATAAGAACACATCAAATCAACGCATTATTATAGACTATGCGGTTCATTTAGGCATTCACACTGTCTGCAATTTTCTGTCTTCCTGCATGTGTCAGCTGCAGCTGTGCTATTTAGACTATGTCTGTTTGTCTAATATTAGGCTACAGTTAGCTCCTGGTTTGTAAAATACGACTCTCTATTGCCAATGGACTTGGTTACAAGTCGCGACACAGTGGATATCTTACAAGCACAGACCAGGTAAAGCGGCAATGAACACACCAGTGCAGATGTCATTCGTTAGCTACCATGTTGGTACATGTGGCGCAGCAGCTGCTGTGAATGGAATTGCGGGTTGAAAAGTCCAGAAGACAAGTTTTTGTTTTTATAGCATAGCCTACTACTGATGGAGAAAGTCACTGCAGCAGACACACAGGGAGAGAGTGATGGCAAGAAGCGTGATATACAGATATATATTTGTATTGGTATTCTGCCTAAAAGGTACCGGGATATAACTTTTGGTCTGTATTGCCCAGCCCTAGGTGGTGTTGTAGACGCGGTGCACTAATTTTTGCCTGTTAGACTCATCACTTTCTCCGTTCCTCTGCGACATCTTTGCTGCTCAAGTTACTACCTCCTGATCATAGACAAAAAGCTCATCATGGAGCTTGTTACAGTTATGCTACATTCACGTATTGGGCGACAAGACCATGGATAGAGCCCTATGAAGTCTGTTTACAGTTGTTGCCAGATTCTGTTTTCTGTTTCTGTGTTTTACAATTTAAGCACATTTGGTCATCATAAAGAGTGTGTAATCATGTGGTATAATAACATTTCATATTCAACAATAATATTACATATTGAATAAATATCAATTAATTTGATGTATCATGCAGAATAGAAATGTTCAAATGTATGTGCAATTATTTATGGGGACAATTCACAATAAATGTATTGCAACAGTTCAAAAAAATACTATAATGCAACACTGAACAAAATTCTAAATGCAACCCTTTTGTTTTTGCCCCCATTCATCCTGAGCTGAACTCAAAGATCTAAGACTTTCTCTATGTACACAAAAGGCCTATTTCTCTCAAATACTGTTCACAAATCTGTCAAAATCTGTGTCATTGAGCACTTTGCTGAGATAATCCATCCACCTCACAGGTGTGGCATATCAAGATGCTCATCAGACGGCATGGGGATTGCACAGGTGTGCCTTAGGCTGGCCACAATAGAAGGCCACTCTAAAACAATGGCAGGGGAAACACTGTAATGTAAATTCTTCAGAGAAAACAAACATGGAAACCAGATGCATTTAGTAGGTATGGGTTGATGCTACTATTTGTGCTGTAGGTGGCCATCCTGATTCCATTTAGAAACCGCCATGAACATCTCCCCATCCTCTTCCAACACCTCATCCCCATGCTACAGAGACAGCGACTGCAGTTTGCCTTCTACGTCATCGAACAGGTATTCTGTTTGTGTGTGTGTGTGTGTGTGTGTGTGTGTGTGTGTGTGTGTGTGTGTGTGTGTGTATCCTGCAGTGTTTGGGGAGGTATTGTTGTCCATCTACAAGTCTAACATTCAGCTGAATTAAACTGTTCTGAGCTCATGTTTGAGAAGCTTTTTGGGTAGTGAAGACAGTTAAACAAGGCTTCCTATGACTTCTTTATTTCTTTGATAGTGGCACCAGGCTCATTGACTCAGAGAGTGTGTATGTGTGTTTAGAGTGGGAGCCAGCCCTTCAACAGAGCCATGCTGTTTAATGTGGGATTCCTGGAGGCTATCAAGGACTTGGACTGGGACTGCTTGATCTTCCATGATGTTGACCACATCCCAGAGAATGACCGAAACTACTACGGCTGTGGCCAGATGCCACGCCACTTTGCTGCCAAGCTGGACAAATACATGTACATGTGAGTGTGCCATTAACATGTAGATCTTTGTTGAGAAAATATAAAATACAAATGCTTGTAGATCTGTGTTTAACTCATGTGTTTTGTGGTTTGCAGTCTTCCATACTGTGAGTTCTTTGGTGGTGTGAGTGGACTCACCGTAGAGCAGTTCCACAAGATTAATGGCTTTCCCAATGCATTCTGGGGCTGGGGAGGAGAGGATGATGACTTGTGGAACAGGTTGGTCTACTTAAGGGGGGTGGACAGTGGATTCAGAGAGTATTCAGACCCCTTCATGTAGTAACTCAATTGGTTTTGTTCTTTTTTTGGGAAGGGATTTCTCCACGCACACTGGTGCAGGAATCGGCAGCTTTGTTTCCGCAAACAGAGCTTGAAGTATGCTCTAACAGACTCCCTAACAAAGATCACAAGCTTGATTATGACTGTCAGTCTCAAAGGTTAAATGTGAAATGTGATTTTCTACATCCTTGTGTGTTTCCAGGTGTTAGGGAGTTCTATTGCATATGTGAAACAAGTAGTGGGCAACTGTGGCTCAGGGGATAGAGTGGTTGTCCACTAACAAGAATATGCGTGGTTCGATCCCCGGCTCCTCCAGTCTGTATGTCGGAACTGTCCTTGAGCAAGACACTGAACCCTGCCTTTGGTGTGTGAATGTGTATGAATGTTATTTCGGTTCTGATGTGCAGTTGGTACCTTAGCCTCTGCCGTCAGTGTGTGAATGGGGTGACAGAAAGGCGCTGTACAGACCATTTAGTGTGTAGTAGTGTCTCAGAGGGAGGTGAGGGAAGTCTGATAAATGTCCTCAATAAGGCTGACCCGAATAGTCGAAGATTTGATGCTTTGATGGGCGGAGCCTAATTCGACTGTCAATCTCACAGTGGAAGCTTCGCAGTGAAACGAGGATCATGCTATTTTGGCGATATGGGGGTGCTCAACGTCTGATTTTACATTAACTACATCTCCCGATAAGTTAATATACAGCCTATTACAATATACATTTCAACGTTTAATGCTGTAAATAAACATGTAAAAAGAATAAAACTTTCAAATGTAATTTTGTAAATGTTTTTAAAGTGCGTGAATAAATCCAAAATTGTAACCCTAACCCTGGGTCGTCAGTGCGCAAGTGAAGGCGTAGCGTGTGTGTGGTGGCAGAAGAGGAACGCTTGCTGAAGAGACTGACCCCCGGCTTCACTGGTGTTGTCCGCACCTCGTGGGACTTTCGGATATTTTATCACCGTTGATGAACCACACAAATAATATACTATTGTTTTTAGACAGCCGGCTACTTGAAATGGACCCATGAGGAACCGCGACATGCGTGCAGTTGTCGGCAGCATGGCATGCACGCAAAACTCTGCACAAGACCGGTGAATGGCAGGCGAGAGAGGGAGAGAGAGAGAAAGGGTCTTCAAAAAGCCTCAGTTTAGCCGGAAATTTACAGTGTAAGTTGAATGAATAGAGACTGCAGCTTCTCAAGATTAAAGCGGAGTCACCATGTTTTGACAAGGAAGAAAAATGTGTGGAATTAAAAAGACTATATTGGTCCGTCATAAGTCTGACAATGTTGTAGGAATGCAATGTTAAATCTGTGGAGTACTTTTAATAATTAAAGGAGCTGCACTCAACAAAATGTTTGCTACACTGTTTGTGTGAGGCAGGCCTTGATTTTTAGGGCCCGAGCATGACCGTGTGAGGTCCCTATTGAATTTGCTAAGATTATTAGGGCCCGAGCACGACCGTGTGAGGTCCCTATTGAATTTGCTAAGATTATATTTAGGGCCCGAGCACGACTGTGTGAGGTCCCTATTGAATTTGCTAAGATTATATTTTCTTTTTTCTGCAAAGTAGGCTCCATTGACGGGGCCTAAACATACTCGAAAACTCACCAAACTTTGCACACATGTCAGGACTGGTGAAAAATTTTGTATTTTATGGTTTTCGCGCATGGGCGTGGCAAAATGACTCGCTAGCGCCACCTAGAAAATTGGAAAAAATTAGCCCCTCGTTCACGTTCAACCTACATGTACGAAATTTGCTGGGGACATGTATCATATCAAGATGCATACCCTAAAGTCAACAGGAAGTCGGCCATTTTGAATTTTACGGCCATTTTTGGATGATTTACACACTTCGTACTTTAACGAACTCCTCCTAGGGATTTAGTCGGATCGACGTCAAATTTCTGCTGTGCCTTCTAAAGGCACTGACGATGAAAAGTTGTGCTATTTGCGAGTTTTCGTCAATGGGCGTGTCCGTGGCGTCGATGATTCGCTATGAAACAGGAAGTTGTTGTAACTTCAGTGTACATGCTCACATCTGCACCTAACTGTACATGTAGGATGAGAGTCCCGTCCTGAACACATGTACATGCTGACATTCACCCACAGTCATAGCGCCACCTGCTGGCAACAGGAAGTGACTTTTAACGAAGCAGCCCCCGCCGCGCGTTTCACCTACGTGCACGAATTTTCTGTGGTACGTTCAATTCAATTCAATTTTATTTATATAGCGCCAAATCACAACAACAGTTATCTCACAGCGCTTTTCATAAAAGAGCAGGTCTAGACCGTACTCTGTGATGATATTTACAGAAGCCCAACAGTTCCCACCAAGAGCAAGCACTAGGCGACAGAGGCAAGGAAAAACTTCCTTTTAAGAGGCAGAAACCTCGAGCAGAACCATGGCTCAGGGTGGGCGGCCATCTGCCTCGACCGGTTGGGGTGAGAGAGAGAGAGAGAGAAAGAGAGAGAGAAGAGAGTGAAAGAGAGAGAGAGAGAGAGAGAGAGAGAGAGAGGGATGTAAGGAGAGAGAGAGGGGAGGGAGGCAGCCTACACAATATACACACAGAGGTACAGACAGCGAAGGTAATGTTGCTATAAACTAAATGAAAAATGGTACAGATATTTATAATAGTGTTAATGGTAACCATCGTAATGTTAATGATTATAATAACAATAAGACTAGCAACAATAGTCGTTGCAGTAGAGGGTGTCGAGCAGGAACACGGGGGCAGCAGGCGACCCGCAGCCACAGATCCAGACTCCACAGCTCCAGAGCCAGAAAACCTGCAGGAAGTGATAGGAGGAGAGAGGAGAGGGACGAGAAAGCACAAGACTACCAGAAAGGGGAGAAGTTGTGTTAGTAACATGCAATAATGGGATAAGGTTGCATACAGAGGGAGAGAAAGTAGAGGAGAGAGGAGCTCAGTGCATCATGGGAAATCCCCCGGCAGTCTAGGCCTATAGCAGCATAACTAAGGGATGGTTCAGGACTACCTGAGCCAGCCCTAACTATAAGCTTTATCAAAGAGGAAAGTCTTAAGCCTACTCTTAAATGTGGAGATGGTGTCTGCCTCCTGAACCCAAACTGGAACCTGGTTCCACAGGAGAGGAGCTTGATAGCTGAACGCTCTGGCTCCTAGTCTACTTTTGGAGACTCTAGGAACCACAAGTAACCCTGCATTCTGGGAGCGCAGTGCTCTGGTGGGGTAGTAAGGTACTATGAGCTCTTTAAGATAAGATGGTGCCTGACCATTAAGAGCTTTGTAGGTAAGAAGAATGATTTTAAATTCTATTCTGGATTTTACTGGAAGCCAATGCAAAGAAGCTAAAACAGGAGAAATGTGATCTCTTTTCCTGGTTCCTGTCAGAACACGTGCTGCAGCATTCTGGATCAGCTGAAGAGTCTTAATGGACTTTTTCGAGCAGCCTGATAATAAGGAATTGCAGTAATCCAGCCTAGAAGTAACAAATGCATGGACTAGTTTTTCTGCATCATTTTTAGACAGGATGTTCCTGATTTTCGCAATATTACGTAGGTGAAAAAAGGCGGTCCTTGAAATTTGCTTAATGTGGGACTTAAACGACATGTCCTGATCAAAGATAACTCCAAGATTCCTCACAGTGGTGCTGGAGGCCAAGGCGATGCCATCCAGGGAAACTATATCTTTAGATAATGCGTCACGGAGGTGCTTAGGCCCCAGAACAATAACTTCAGTTTTATCTGAGTTTAACATAAGAAAATTACAGCTCATCCAGGTTTTAACATCCTGAAGGCACATTTGAAGTTTAGCTAACTGATGAGTTTCATCTGGCTTGATCGATAGATATAACTGAGTATCATCTGCATAACAATGAAAGCTTATGGAATGTTTCCTGATAATATTGCCTAAAGGAAGCATATATAAAGTGAAGAGGATTGGTCCAAGGACAGATCCTTGAGGAACTCCATGAGTAACTTTGGCGTGCATGGAGGACTCATCGTTAACATGTACAAACTGAAATCGATCTGATAAATAGGACTTAAACCAGCTTAGAGCGGTTCCTTTAATGCCAATGAAATATTCCAGTCTCTGCAATAGGATCTGATGGTCAATGGTATCAAATGCAGCACTAAGATCTAATAAAACCAGTACAGAGACAAGTCCTTTGTCTGATGCAATAAGGAGGTCATTAGTAATTTTCACCAGTGCTGTCTCTGTGCTATGATGAGCTCTAAATCCTGACTGAAAATCCTCAAATAAACTATTGCTCTGTAGAAAGTCACACAGCTGTTTAGCAACTGCTTTCTCCAGAACCTTAGAGAGAAATGGAAGGTTAGATATAGGTCTATAGTTTGATAAAACATCCGGATCAAGTTTGGGCTTTTTCAGAAGAGGTTTAATTACAGCTACTTTAAAGTACTGTGGTACATAGCCTGTTGATAAAGATAGATTGATCATATCTAGTATAGAGGTGCTGACTAAGGGTAAAACATCTTTAAGCAGCCTAGTCGGGATGGGGTCTAAGAGGCAGGTTGATGGTTTAGATGAAGAAATTATTGAAGTTAGTTGGTAAAGATTGAGGGAAGCAAAACAGTCTAAACATGTATCTGGTTCTACAGCTGTTTCTAAGGTTCCTGAGTTAAGAGATAAGTCGGTGCCAATTGAGGGCAGGTCTTGGTGAATTTTGTCTCTAATAGCTAGAATTTTATCATTAAAGAAGCTCATGAAATCGTAACTACTGAGAGCTATGGGAATACTTGGCTCAATAGAGCTGTGACTCTCTGTCAGCCTGGCTACAGTGCTGAAAAGAAACCTGGGGTTGTTCCTATTTTCCTCTATTAATGACGAGTAGTACGCTGCTCTGGCATTACGGAGGGCCTTCCTATAAGTTTTAAGACTATCTTGCCAAATTAAACGAGAATTTTCCACTTTGGTGGAACGCCAATTCCTCTCAAGTTTCCGTGATATTTGCTTTAATTTGCGAGTTTCAGTATTATACCATGGAGCTAACCGTCTTTGTTTTAGTATTTTCTTTTTTAGAGGGGCTACAGAGTCGAGTGTCATTCGCAGCGAGCCAGCAGCACTATCAACAAGATGATCGATTTGGGAGGGACTGAAATTAGCATAGGAGTCCTCCGTTACTTTGTGACTAGATAATGTATTTAGAGCTGATGGAATCGCATCCTTAAATTTAGCTATAGCACTATCAGACAGACATCTTGTATAGAAATTTTTGCCCAATGGCGAGTAGTTCAGCAATACAAACTCAAAAGTTATCAAACAGTGGTCGGATAAAGAGGGATTCTGTGGGAACACCACTAAATGTTCAATTTCAATACCATACACCAAAACAAGGTCAAGGGTGTGGTTAAAACAGTGAGTCGGTTCATGAACACTCTGAGAGAAGCCGATGGAATCTAACAAAGAGATAAACGCAGTACTGAAGCTGTCATTCTCAACATCTACATGAATATTAAAATCCCCTACAATAATAACTTTGTCCGTTTTAAGGTCTAAAGTTGACAAAAACTCTGCAAATTCAGATAAGAATTCAGAATACGGGCCAGGTGCTCGGTACACTATAACAAAAAGAATTGGTTCGTACGTGTATCTTGTCCAGACGCATAAAAAAGCCTCTTGGAGCGATGCCCTAAAACCAACAGGAAGTCGGCCATTTTGAATTTTACGTCAAATTTTGGATGATTTACAAACTTCGTACTTTAACGAACTCCTCCTAGGGATTTAGTCCGACCGACCTCAAATTTCTGCTGTGCCTTCTAAAGGCATTGAAGATGAAAAGTTGTGCTATTTGCAAGTTTTCGTCAATGGGCGTGTCCGTGGCGTGGCGTCAAAGATCAAGTCTTCGCCATGACACAGGAAGTTGTCGTAACTTCAGTGTATATGCTCACATCTGGACCAAACTGTACATGTAGGATGAGAGTCCCGCCCTGAACACATGTACATGCCGACATTCACCCACAGTCATAGCGCCACCTGCTGGCAACAGGAAGTGACTTTTAATGAAGCAGCCCCCGCCGCACGTTTCACCTACATGCACAAATTTTCTGTGGTACGTGTATCTTGTCCAGACGCACAACAAAGTCTCTTGGAGCGATGCCCTAAAACCTACAGGAAGTCGGCCATTTTGAATTTTATGTCAAATTTTGGATGATTTACACACTTCGTACTTTAACGAACTCCTCCTAGGGATTTAGTCCAACCGACTTCAAATTTGTGCTGTGCCTTCTAAAGGCATTGAAGATGAAAAGTTGTGCTATTTGCGAGTTTTCGTCAATGGGTGTGTCCGGCGCGGCATCAAAGATTAACTCTTCCCCATGACACAGGAAGTTGTTGTAACTTCAGTGTACATGCTCACATCTGAACCAAACTTTATGTGCTTGATAACTCTCCCACCCCGCAGACATCTACACACCAATACCGATTTATATTCATAGCGGCAAGTGCTATGTAGCTCCACATAGGGGACATAGGAAGTGACATATAGCACCTTCATGTGGCGTCGGAACCGCGTAGCAAATTCACAGCCGTACCGGCAGAGCTCCAGAATGTGCAACTCGGCCGGCTCACACCCAGACGCGCTACAAGTGCGAGGGCCCGCCCAACGCTGCTTGCAGCTTTAATTTATAATTGTTATTGTTACAAATTTTACAGTGACCATGTAGAAACATAAATTGCATTACTTCAAATATGATGCATTATACATGATAGTTGCATAGGCCTACATCTAATGATGTACTTGGACACATCATCAGTGATAGTACCTAGGGTCACTGGGTGACCCGACGTGGAGTGATCAGTTCCTGGCCTGCGTCCAAGAGGCATCAGCCCACGTCTTGTCCCTCCTGATTGATGGCCATCTTGAAGCTTTCTCTGCCAATGGCTTTTCTTTTATGTGCACCAGTGATACCCAGGAAGGCTGTATGCCTTGCACACAGAGAATACAGTGTTACATCTACGTACATACATTTTTCCCCAGTTCCCCGGTCAGTTGAGTGTGGGAGGTGACATGGGCCACCTTGCTTTATGAAGGTTAATATCATGATGTAGTTGTGAGTCCAGTTTTTAACCAGTGTCAAGACACATAACCATTAATTTTTTCTGAATGTGGTACAACTGCGGACCTCTACACAGGCTGCCTGTGGTGTCTATAGTAACCCTCTGATTGTGTCTTCATGAGGTGTTTCTGGGCAAGCAATCACTGAACCAAAGATCTCTGCACAGGAGTAAATATTCAAGGCTCAACGTTAATTTTTTTTCAACTGGCCCCACCAGGTTTGAAACTTACTGGCCCCAAGACCATTTTTACTGTCCCTCCCTCTAAAAGTTATTTATCAGTGTCGCAACAAAACAAAAGGTTTATAAGTTATGTTATTCTGTTAACATGTTTAATCGTTTATTAAATACATCCTGGATATAAAAAAACTAAACTAAAATGTAATCAGGTTTCCATGGTAGCGACTTCTCAATCACAAGGTAGTATGGACTGCTTTATCATCTATTTCCCTCTGAATATTATTATTAATTCACTAAATGAACATCACGCTGTGTTGAAGAAGACTTGAAACTAGCTACTGAGACCATAAACTCATCAGGAAAGTGTTTACTGAGGGAATAAATCAGCTAAGAAGTAGCAACATTTTACCATCATTTCTAATAGAACCAGAGTTCTTTTTGCAAAAACAGTGGACTCGCCCCCTGCTGGCAGGTTTAAGTTACGTTGGCATGGTTTCACTTTCAGACTCAGAGGTTGCCGCTTGATTGAAATTAGAGAAATAACATTTGACAACCACTCATCACATTACTGCAACTCTCGATTGGCCAGCGGTGTGTCAAGTGCTGCAAAACAACTGCAGGATGCTGAGTTTCTAATGCAATTTTTTTGGATATGGTTTTTCAATACTAATGTTTCTGCACTGGCCTGATTGGGCCAGTGAGTTGCTAGTTCAACAGTTCTGACGTTACTTTTTACTGGCCTCAGGCCACCGTTATTGTTGAGCCCCGATATTGTAATAACGGATTTATGCGCTGCTACCCTACAATAATATGGCCTGTTGCTGAATGTCTGATCACATCCTGCATTGACATTCTCAGCTACCTGTCAGGTAGCACATCATATTGCAACTACTTTTTCCAACTAAAGTACATAGCTGGTAACTAGCGGCCCGGACAGCTCTGCTGGTGAGGGATGGTAGCGAGATTTTGTGGTGGCGTTCATACTGTAAATGGAAACTTCATTTCCTCTGCAGCAGCAAACACAATACACAACCTCAATACTATTGAGTGAATGTGCTACACACAGGTGTTATTGACGTCTGATAGTGACGCCTTACTACCAGCCACAAAAAGACAAGACGATACTCAACACAGTCAGTCTTAAAAATCATTATTTTCATGTCAATGTGACCTGTCGAGCTTGATGTTACCAAAACATCTGTCCCCTCTCAGAATCTGTGTCAGACCTGCAGCTACCAGGTCAGGACTTGTCTGCAGCCCTAATAAATATCTCAGCACAGATTCAATATCAGTGCAGTGATTTAGATTCAGTTTGTGAGATGGGGGTTCAGATTAGTGTAATGTATGAAATTATACCATTGTGTCAGTAACATGTATAGAGTTTATGTACTGATATAATATTTAAGAATGGCAGTCTCAACTGACTGTTTGTACTTTTGTATTTTCAACTAAACAAATGTTATGAAACCGTAAATATTCCTCATAGATTCAGTTCAGCTGAAGCTCAATAGTAATACAGCCTGGTTTTTCCTCAGGGTTCACTATGCTGGTCTGAATGTCACAAGACCAGAAGGAGAGATCGGCAAGTACAAGTCAATTCCTCACCACCACAGAGGAGAAGTGCAGTTCCTCGGGAGGTAAGAAACAATTTACCTATGAGTAGGGATGGGGATGGGTAATTAGGGCCCGAGCACGAACTGTGAGAGGTCCCTATTGAATTTGTAAAGATTATATATATATATATATATATATATATATTCTTCTGCAAAGTAAGCTCCATTTTGTGGACCTAAACATACTCGAAAACTCACAAAACTTTGCACACATGTCAGAACTGGTGAAAAATTTCGTATTTTATGGGTTTTGCACATGGGCGTGGCAAAATGACTCGCTAGCGCCACCTAGAAAATTGGAAAAAATTAGCCCTCGTTCACGTTCAACCTACATGCACGAAATTTGCTGGGGACATGTATCATATCAAGACGCACAAAAAAGCCTCAAGAACCCATAGCTCCACATAGGGGACACAGGAAGTGACATATAACAGCTTCATGCGGCGTCAGAACCGCGTAGCAAATTCACAGCCGCACCGGCAGAACTCCAGAATATGCAACTCGGCCGGCTCACACCCGGACCCGCTACAAGTGCGAAGGCCCGCCCAACACTGCTTGCAGCTTTAATTTTATAAATAGTATTTATATTTGAAAATGTTTTGAAGGAAACCTGGAGGAGCCCGTTTGAATGGGCCTGATTCAATTTTATTTATATAGCGCCAAATCACAACAGTTCTCACAGCGCTTTTCATAAAAGAGCAGGTCTAGACCGTACTCTGTGATGTTATTTACAGAAGCCCAACAATTCCCACCAAGAACAGCACTAGGCGACAGTGGCAAGGAAAAACTTTGCGCTAAAACTCTTGCAGTGCCCCCTGACATTTTGTACCACGGGTCGGCCCTGAGATTGGCCCCCAGTCCTAACAGACTTCATTAAGTCTGTTAGGACTGTGTTAGTGCGCAGAGGTCCACTCAAACCAGCACTGAATTTTTCTAGAAGAGGTTTCTGTTCAGGCTTATTAAAGGGGCAGGATTGTAGTGGGAGCTTTGTGGTGTCAGGTGTGACTGTGCAGCAGCTCTGGAGTCGCAGCCAGTTTGTGAAAGAGTGGTAACGCAGCCGTAGAGTTTTACAATATAAACATCTGAAAACTGAAGCCAACTTTGCTCTGTTTGGGACTGTGAGCTGCATTTTATCAGAGGTGCAGAAGTTAACGTGTGGGATTGTGGTGAGATTTCTGCCTGATCAGAAGTGTTTCAGTTAGTTTTGGTGTCCACCTCCATGTCTCATTTTCACATACCTAAAGTCCCAAACGGGGTTCTGTGTCTGTCAGGTATGAAGACACCAGCAGAACAATAACGCAGACTAATCCTCCACACAGTATAGGAAATACACACTTGTCCTCTTGCGACTCAATTTTCCTTATTGGTATTTACTTTAACTTCTAGTGCTGTATTCAAACCTGTCTCGAGTGAATTTAAAGAGATACATTGTGTTTTGTAAGATCATTAGATTTGAATGTGTAGTACTTTTTACTTTTGATTACTTAAGTATTTGTAAAACCAGGTACCTTTTTTTTTTTTTTACTTGAGCAGGTTTATACTAGATGACTTTTACTTTTACGTGAGTAACATTTTTCATGTTGTATCGATACTTTTTACTTAAGTATCAAAATTGAGTACTTCTTCCACCACTGCTTGTGGTATATTTGTGAGGTGTTTTTAACGATTTCTGTCATCGGCAACTAAGAGACCAATGGAACATGCTGAAACCTCTGCATCTGTGCAGTTATCAGTTATAGAGCTAGATACTCATGAAAGCAGCCGTGTCTGTCCTTTAGCAGAATTTGCAGATGGCGTGGATAAATATTGATGTTAGAACTGTGTGACTTTGTGTTTGTAGGTATAAGCTGCTGAGGTATTCCAAAGAGCGACAACACCTGGATGGCCTCAACAACCTCCGTTACAGCCCCCACATCTCCCTCAGCAGTCTCTACAAGAACATCACGGTGGACCTATACCCCGAGCTCGCTCCTATAACGGACTACTGAACTGCCCCCACCAACCCCAACCCAACCTCTCCTCCCCAGCTCACCCAGCTCCCCTCCAGCCTGGCCTCCCAGTGCCCCGTTCAGCCATGCAGAGGATGGAGGAGAGGAGGGGGGCACAGGACAGGGGGTGAAGAGGCGCACCATGTTAGCTGCCAAGAAATCTTAGTGAGGGGAAAAAAAGAAAATCCAAACTGAAAAAATGAGGTGGCAGTGGCAAGTCTGTCAGAGTTAACTGTGTGTGTGTGTGTGTGTGTGTGTGTGAGAGAGAGAGAGAGAGAGAGATGGGTGAGAAGCTGCATGTCTTTTTGTCCGTGCCGGCTTAACTACTGCAAGTTGACATGAGTCTTCGTTTAGGTTGGAGGGAGCAGCAGCATCTCAGCTCTGATGTTTACTGCAAAGCCTTACTGTGGCAGAACCACAGCTCCCTCTGCTCGGCTCTGCGCTGCTTCACTTCTCATGTATCACCGTCACCTTACAAGCCATCGTTCTACTACCATTTGTTTTAAACATATCATATATTAGGCCACAGTTTTCCTTTAACGGAGGGAACTGAGCAAGGTCAGCATTGATGTTTTTTTATTTTGATACGTGGTATTTATTTTCTCTGGTTCAGGGTGTTTGAAGAAACACTCATCTGTGTTTGCTGTTAGTTTTGCTGCACTGCTGCTGAATCCGCATGAACTCGTATGTAAATATCGGCCTCTTAAAGCTCGAACACAACACAGAAATGTAAATATGGGCCTTTATGCGCTCAGGCATATTCCAGCGATACTCCAGTGGGTTTGAATTTTATTTTGGCAGCTACCTTTGTTCTGAGGATTTAATAAGAGTGAGTGGTGTCTTCTATATAGGATATAGGATGTTTGGCTTAAAACAGAACAAAACAGAAGTATCCAAATCTAAAGATTTGACATTATCTTTTGCATGCCTTAATTTATTTTGTTTACCTGTTTTTGTTCTTCTTAAGCATAAATTATTTCACCAGTTGGAGAGTGTATATTTTTTCATTTTGCCTTTTTTCTTTGAGGTGCATTGTGTGAAAAGAGTAGAGCTGCTGCTCAGAAAGAGGGAGTCCATAGTCCACAGCAGGAGTTTGTCCACAAAGCACACTTTAGTGCAGGTTCATGGTCTCATGTGAGTGTACATTTTTTTGTCTCAGATGTGTTTTTAGTTTATTTTCATTTTTTTATGATTTTTATTCTAGTGAGTTCTGGACATGTGATAAAGCTCTTCATTGTACTGTACCATGCTATGAAGCATGGGCATTTAAGCTGGATGCTGTGTGTGTCTGGACTGTGGTGTAATTATTTTCTTGCTTGAAGGGCCAGAATGAGAGAACCTTAGTGTCAGCTCCTCACAGCTGAAGCTACTGCTGTTCTTGAATGGCACATGCTGTGAAAAGTTTCATTTCTTAAAGCTTTGAGCACTATAAAGATGGAGTGAAACGTGTAGGCAGACGATATCTAACAGATGTTCACTGTTAGGATTCTCGTCTATATCACCATATCTCTTTTAAATTGGACCGTGAATTGTGTTTTGGGACAATTTTTTTATTGTATGTCCTGCAATGATAAGTCAGAACTCAAACCATTTTGACCTGGCCATTATTTACCGTCTTATCAGACTATTTCATTCATGAGCAAGATTCTCACTTCTCTGTGAGACCGGTCCAACGACAGCCCATTTAGGTCTCTGGTGACCAAAGACATGTAAGAACTTCGAACCAAAGGGTCTCTCTGTGACTGCTGCTAAGACCCACGGCTACAAACCAATCAGAATAAGACATGAAACACACTGTCCAACCCAACAGATCTCTCACCACATCAGCTTACGTACTTGCGTCATGTGGTTTAGGTAGGGAATGAACTGGAGTTGGGTCAGAAGGATGTTGGCCATTGAAGTTGTGTCTGCTTGCATATTTCCTGTTTTCTTCTATATACGAACAGTTGGTTAGCTGATTGACAGAGTTAATCTGCAACTATTTAGATTACAGATGGAAGTCGAAAACAGAAATGCCAAATTATTCAGTCCATTTAACCAAATGTGAATATATGTTTAGGATAATAAAGCAAATATCTTTAGATTTTTGGTCTATTGGGTAGACAAAGCAAGCATTTTGAAGACATCACGTTGAAGTCTGGGAAATTGTAATTTTATAGGCAGACCAATGAAGGGATTCAGTGAGAAAATCAGCAGATTAGTTGGTTGCAGATTTTGTTTTCTATTCCCATTGTAGCACTGTAATTGACCAAGCATTCTAACGTGCCTCAACGGTGATGTAATGATGAATAGACATTATCATCTCATCTCAAAATGAACCTGTGCGATGGCCGCTGGCACACAGCGTGTGCAGTCATGCCCTCCTGTCTGTACTAGCCGGCAAATAAAAGCATGTCTTCTTTTGAAGTGGTGATACTCATGACATGACCAAGTGTTCCACTTGGTCCATGGCCTTGTAACCAAAGTGTTTGCACCAATGGTGATTTTGGTTTTAGGCTTAAACGTTACACATGTTGAAATGATGTTCTGTGTGTGCTGTTAATATTTGGAGTAGCACACACTTGAAAGCCTTACACAAATACATGTTTAGTGAAGCAGTTGATGAGGTTTTGTTGACAGTAGATAGATAGGTAAGATGAAGGTGAATAGGTTTCAGGTATGAAATGGCTAGAGTTATTTCTACAGATTTTTTCTTGTTTTAAATAAGGGTTGGTTAGCATACCAGGGTTCCCAGCAGCCTGTACGTTGTTGTTTTCTTCTCTGAAAAGCAGAGTGTCTGAACATCACACTGCAGTACAATGTGGCTTGTGTGACACTTAATAGCATGTTGATCTGATCAGAGAGAAGTGCAGAGTACCTCTGATGCTTAAGTTCACCCCTTCTAGCCGTGGTCTTTCCTGTCTGGGGAAGTGGACACCGAGCAGTGTTCATTTAGCAGATGCTTCTCTTGTGCAATGCCTTCCTTAGCTTAGTACCACAATTTTGCATAAGATAAGAGAGCAGCCCTGTTCTTAGGTTACTGGCTGTGATCTGACTGAGTGTTGTTGAGAAGAACGTAGTAGTCATAACTCCTGGTGATCAGCTGGTTAGGGTGTATACAAAACCATCATGCCATTAATTACGTGACCCCCCCCCCCCACACACACACACACACACACACACTGCACATACACTTTCTGTTGATCTGCACCTCCTGTTCTGTTGCTACGGTATTCAGTACAGCAGTAATGCCTTAATTATTAACTACTGTTTGGAGTATCTAAAATATCTTCAGAAGCAGTATTCAGATTTTGTAAAATTTCAAAAAGATGAACCCACTTCTTCTGAATGGTCTGGTACAATTAACAAAAGGAGTCAGTTTGAACATGACCTACGAAGAACATGAACTGCATGTTAGCGTTCCCTTTTACATGTGTAACTATCCAGCAAATGAAGAATGTTACAAACATCAACTTTGTCCAAACGGCTACAAAAAGACAGGCTTCATCATATTTTCTTGACTTCAGTATTGATTGAAGTAGTTGTTTCTACAATCTACAACCCCCCACCCCCCCACACAGTTTGAGTCTCAGTATATGGGTACCTTGGCCTCTACACGTCTCTGCCTCGGTCTGTCTGTATTTCCCCCACGTCTGTAGTTTCAAGCAAAACAAACCTCAATAATTCTCTTCAGTATACTTCCGATTTGGGTGTCTCCATAGACAGTTGAGACTAGGGAGGAGCAACTAGAATGAGCCACAGAAGCCGGCATACAACTGCTTCCCTCGGTAGAGAAGTACTTGACTAGTACACCGATGATAAAACAGGTGGACTTCTCCTTCAACAACTGAAGCAGTGATATGTCACGGTCACGGAGTGTTTCCAAGCATGACTCTGTTAGGAGATGGCTGACAGGGCACTCAGTATGTAGCTCAGGCTGTGTTCCATTATTCTAATGGATCTAGTTTGCAGAATGCTAAAAGGGAAAATATCTTTGTATAAATATCAAAATTTTTCATATTCGTCCCTGGCTCTGATAAGCGTTGGGTGTCAGGCCAGTGGGTCCCAGTAGCTGTGGTTGACTTCACCTTTTATCACATGACTGTCTGAAATCCAAAAGTATCTAATACCGTTCAGATGATGTGTTCACCATTAGGCAACTCTATTCCATTCTACTGTTTTTTTATTTGTGCCTTGAGTTCTTTTTCTTTCTTTTTCACTTTACATTCTAACTGAAGAGATTAAAATTGGTTTTGTTTTTCCTGAATTGTCGATGATTTGTCACCTTCTTTAATTATATCAAGCCAGACTTGAAAAGTGTGACATACGTAAATGATGAGACTCCAAAAGATCAGTCTGTCTGCTCCAGTGTGTGGCTGCCTTGACATCATGTGTATTAACCCACTGTATCTCACTGGATGCGAGTCATGTTCAATGCAAAGACTGAGCTATGAGTGCAGTCTGCACATTTAATGTGTTACTTGCAGTTGAGGGTTCATCTTATTTGCCAACCAAACTTCACTGCCCACCAAAAGAATGAACACAAGCACATATCCTATCATATCGACAATTTTAAGCACAAAATTGCTTAAGCTGTGATGCTAATCACCGAGAACTGCATCCTAAAACCTTTTTTGTAGCCTATAATTTGCATGGCCTAGCCTAGCATTACATAGGTGGTTTTAAAAAAAAAAAAGATAATTTCCATCCAGTTTCCATGTGCATGATGACCAGAGCTGGTAGACGGAAGCTTTGCTTTTGTGAACAGCGCTGCAGGCAGCTTCCCACTGACGAGCAGTTATTGAACAGCATTATGTTGATAGTCATACCTGTGCACCTGGTGCAACATGACTCCGCTTCAGACTGGTTATGTGATTGTTTTTGGCAACACTGTGGTCTTTATTTTTCCATGTTCAGCATGCACTTCTGTCATTGTATGAACATTTATTTCATTTGTTGACTCTGAAAAAAAGTTCATAATTAGAACCTTATTGGCTGACACTGATATATCTATGATAATTGGCCAGTATATATCTTGTCACAGATATCTCAATGCATATGCTGGTAAATAGAGTACAAGCATCTACAAATATTCAGATGTGTTGGATGACATTTAGAAACAGTGTTGCTGTTACATAATTTGTCCACCAGAGACTGCTGACAAGTTATTTTCTTGACTCCAGTCTGGGTCACAAGTCTTTATGAACCAATTCATACCACACGGTACACACTGGAAAGAGCTTTCAGCCACATCTTCTGGCATTCACCTGCAGATGGAGAGTGCTCATAATAATGATAAAGAATAAAGGCCGATATATCGGCCGATGGTAGTATATTGCAGATCTATTGGTATCAGTGTATTATGGCAGCCAACAAGTAACTAGAACTTGTCTTAGAGAAATGACAAAGATATGTTGCCCCACATGGTTCACTAGTAGGCATTCTGGAGCTTTCCATTTTCTTCATCATTGTCTTCCATAGCCCCACTTATAACGTTTAAGTCTTTTTAATATTCTGAACATGTAGAATTCATGACAACAGGGTAAACCCCATCCAAACATAATGTGATACAATACAGAAGCTCCCTAACAGCGACTAATTGAACTTTTGGTGACAAGAATGCATTGTCAATCTTTGAATTGAATTGTTTGAATTTCGTTAGTGTTGCCTTTTACATGGTCCTCCAGAGAGCGATAAGTTGCATTTAACTGTAAAATTTCCCACTCGCTACATATTTAATAACAAAAAAGACAGATTTAACCTCATTCCAAATATTTGTGTTTATGTAAAATAGTATTGGTCTATGTTATCAAGTTTTGTAACCATTCGATATCAGCCTCAATTCCAGTATCAGTCCGGCTTGAAGTACCGAACCACCTTCATTAAAACTTACACCATTGGCTGGTGAAGACCATGACATGTAACTGAAAGCCCAATAAACTGACATGCTAAGAATTTTGTTTCTATCAAACTGCTTTTTCCAAGGTCAATATTGAACCTCAATATAT